AGGGAAGTGATGGGGGGATCCAGGAGGCAGCAATGGGGGTAAGGAGCTACATTCTAAAGGTGGGCCCTTCACCACTTAGGAGCCCCTTTGAGGCTGGGCCCACTTGGGGCACTGTTGCATGAGAAGTGGAATGGAGCCGGACCCAGCCAGCTGGTCCAAGCCAGGGTGTGCATCCTGGCTTGTGGGGGCTCTGTGGGCCCTCCCCGGGCTTCTCACCACTGCAGTCTCTGCACCTGGCACAAAGCCAGGCCCAGAAGGCGAGGTTCCCTCAGCCAGACTGTCCTGCTCCCACGGAGCTTGGTGAGGCCTCCGCAGGGAGGTGACTTGGAGCAAGGCTTCCAAGGAGGCATTTAACAGGCCCAAAGGAGATGAGACGGGAGGCTCAGGTGCAGGGACAGAAAGCACAAAACGTGGACCCTGGGCAGTCAGTGCCCGCGGGGTGGGTGACATGTGCAGCTGGAAAGGCCTCAGGGGCCTCGAATGCCCGTTTAGGGAATTGGACTTGATCTTGGGTGTACATCCCTAGTTGCACCTCAGCCTGTCCGGGCTTCGGCTTCTCAGTGTGGCAGATGCAGCTAAGGGCTGCGACAGGGCTCCGCCAAGCGGTCCAGGACCCGGCACGTGCCTCGCCGGGCACAGCAGCTGCCATGCTCGGCAGCCCCGGGAGGAGTTCAGGAAGGCAATGCCGTGATCTATCACAGGTCTGGGCTAGAGAGGGAAAGTACTGGTTTCATGTGCCAGGCTTGGTGAAAGGAAGGGAGTGCAGACGGTGCCTTGGCCCAGGGATCCTGAGGGCGTTTAGACACCAGGGTCTTGCAAGCACCCAGATCTCTGCCTTGCACCCAGCTCCAGGACCACGCGACCGCCTAGGCTGCTGGGCTGTAATTGGATTTGCCCAGCAGCTGTCGGAGCTAAGCGGGCCCACTTGATGCAGCCGCGGTTGGCCAGTAATTGGTGAAATTAGCAGGTCGGCAGGGGCACAGGTCAGGTGGTTAATGCTGTAGCGGGGGCTTTGATGAAGTTAGTCCCGTTGCAGGGCTGGGAGCTGGGGTGCAGCCTTCTGTGTGTCATGGGGCTCTCCTGTTCCTCTGGTAACGTGGTTAGGAGACCTCCAGCTGCTGGCCTGTCCCAGGGGCTCCTAGAGGCGGGACTCAAGAAACCCGAGGCTAAGCTGAGCCTGGAGGTGTGGCCAACAGCCAGGTCACCTACCGTGTCCTCTTGGCCAGGGCACTTGCAGCACCCGAGGGCCTTTGCAACCCCTAGAGATCTTGGGGTGATGCCCCTTGACTTCCTAGAAGAAGCCTTCAACAGTTTCCCCTTGGAGAAAAGCATCCAGGCCACCTCCGGGCTTCCAGCACTGCCTCCCCACCACCACGATGGGTGTCCCTCGGCCTAGCTGTGCATCTGGAAATGGGGATGAATTCCTCCCAGGTCGATCTTTGACCAGGTCCCACCCTCCCCTCAAGGTTTATGGCCTCCCAGCAGCTTCTCCTCTCATGATCTCCAGAGGCTATCCTCTGAGCAGGCCCCTTGGCTCTTGCTGTTCCCTGGATCAGTGTGCTCCCACCTTCTTTCATTTCACATCGTTTTTTGGACACCCATTACTTTCCAGGCTAGGAGTTGAGATGCATAGGTGAGCAAAATCTGCTCAGGTCCCAGCCAGATCGGCACTCACAGCACCTTTCCTGGCCACGCCCACACTCCCCTCTTCCCAGCCTGGGAACCAGACACCCTGTCATTAATCAGCCTGGAACCCTGGCACCTGGAATCACCTCCACTTCTGGCTCCACTCCAGCCCCCAAGGAACAAGGAATTGCCAGCATGCCAATCCTTCAGAGACGCACATACATGCACACACAGGCACACACGCGCACACGTGCATGCACACACATACACACACAGGCACACTGACCTTGGTTGCTGCAATTATTATGGTTATTGTTACCCTTATTATTATTTGAAAGGTAAATCCTTTGGAGTCAAAATACCCTGGATGAAATTCTGGCTCAGCCACTTGCCAGTTATGTGACTCGCATCTCTGTGCCTCAGTTTCCTCTTATGTGACATGGGTCAGTGACCAGTCTGGGACAGTGTGAGCATTAAATGGGACTGTGTGTATCTGCCTTCACCTCTTTCTCATCAGCGCAGGGTCTTTGCGTTTGCTGTTCCCTCAGCCCAGAAATGCTTTTCCCCCAGATAACTACATGGTCCGTGATCTCACTTTCATTCCCATTTCCTCCTCAGGAAGGCCTCCCAGAAGCACCCAACAAAACACTACTGTGCCCATGCCCTTGACCCCATGCTTCATCTATGAGCTTACCCGCCAGTGTTTCCTCTCTAGCATTCATTACAACTCAGGACAATGTTCTCTGGCTTTCCAGTAGCACATCTGCCCCATCAGGGCAGGGATCTGTTTCGCCCATTGCTACATCCCCAAAACCTAGAACTGTGCCTGGCATATAGTAAGTGCTCAATACATATTTCTTGATTTGCACTGAATTAAAAGTGCATGACCCATCTGTAACTTGGGATTGTTTCAAAATAAAAATATACTTAAACAATATTTTTCAAAGATTGGCACCCCGTCTGCCCACAGGTAATCAAGACTCAGCACTGTCACCCCTCCCATGACGGGAAAGCTCACTCCCCTTAAGGGAGTCTGCCTTGCTCTGACTTCGAGAAAGCTCCAGTTCCATAAGGCCGGGACCTGCTTCCTGTGACACCCTGCCCTTCCGTTGGCTCCTAGGCCTGATCCCTGGGCCTCAGACCCATCTGTTCTCCTGGCCTGGAGGAGTCTTGCAGGGACTTGGGGACAGCAACTGGAATCCACATGGCTGCCTTTCTCCAAGGTGAGTCTTCCCAGCTTCTCCTAGGATGAGGTCTCCAACCTTCTCCCCACCCTAGCCACCCCCTCTGGACCCACTCCAGGCTGCTCCTGTCCTCCTGGGGCAGGGCCTGGAGCTGAGCACAAAGTGGGATCAGAATTCTGAACAGAAGAGCTATCCATTCCCTGAGGGCACATGCAACTTCCTAGGCATTTCCTCATTAACACCTTTGGTCATACAAACTTGTGGTCCACTAAGATCTCTAGCTCCATGTCCACACAGGGCTGACATAGCCAGGGCTCCCCAGCCTGACTTCCTTCTTCTCTTTAGAGCATAATTATGATATTCACTCCAGTCTCAAGGGTTGGGTCATCTTATTTCTGATGTGGGCAACAGTTCTGCATCTGCTCCCTTCCCAGCTGAGTGTGTCTGAGAATGTGAGGTCTGTGCCTTTTCTGGCTCCTTCAAAGCCTTAGTGCCGTATTGAGGACATAATGCCGAGGTCAGGGCCCTGTGGCCCAGCTGTAGAGACCTCGCTCAGGCTCCTAGACAAACGCATCCGTGCATGCCCACACAAACACCTCAATACAACAAATATTTATTGCGTATCTACTATATCCATGCCTTGGGCTAGGGGCTGGAGATGAGCAAAAAACAGCATCAGAGCTCCTGTTTTTGTTGAGCTTATGGTCTACTGGGGCAGCAGACTGAAATCAAGCCATCCTCCACTTCTCTATGCTCCACAGATACGGTCAAAAACATGCGCACAGCGTCCGCACACGTGACTCTCAGGCTACACAGCCCCCCACCCAGGTAGGGTGACTTCAGGGTCATTTGGGAAATCACACAACACGGTCCCAGTCCTCAGAACACCTGCCAGGGGACCTTGTATGTGTCCATGGTCTTGTCGGCCTATAGCTGGCCTCACTTTCTCTCCTATTTGTCCCTCTGTCCACAGTCCATAGAACTGCTCAAAAGAGGCCCACCACCACTTTGGCTGGTGGTGCCCGCCACAAGAGCAGCACGTTGATAGCCTGCCCTGACTTCCAGCCTGGGGGCCCAGCCATGAGCACTACAGAGGCAAGCAGAAGACTTCACCCCAAACTGCATTTCTGAGTCCTGAACAGGACCCACGATCTCCCATCTCCTGCTCCAGCACCCACTTCCTCCCAGACAGTCAGTCTTGCTCTGGCCTGCCTGGGATCAGCACACATCCCCCAACACCCCAACACATGCACACACACTCACACACACACACACACACACACATCCCCCAACACCCCAACACATGTGCACACACTCACACACACACACCTAGAAACATTCATTCTTCTAACAAATATATGCCTTGCCCCTTAGTGCCAGGCATTGCTCTAGACTCTGGGGATACAATGAGCGATGAGACAAGCACAGGCCCTGTTCCCTTGGACCTCCAGTAGAGTCACGGAGGCACCCACCTCTCAGTAGTCACAGACAACCCATAAGGGCCAGGGTGAAACAGGTGAGGGGCCTTTAGAGTGGGGTGGGTGGAGAACTAATTCAGAATAGCGGTGTTGGGGAAGGCCTCCTTGAAGAAGTGATGCTTGAGCAAAGGCCTCAAGATGAGTGGGCAGATACCAGGGAGAACAGCACGTGCAAAGGCCCTGAGGTTGTAAGGCATTTGGTTCAGTGGAGGAATAGAGGGTTGGCCGGTATGTCTAGAGCTCAGAGAGTGAGGGTTGCAGGAAGGTGTGCAGGGGCCAAGCCACCACGGCCTTCTGGTGAGGACAAGGCCTGAGGTCTTTATGCTTAGAGCAGAGGGAGCCACACAGGTTTAACAGCAAGGCAGGTGACGTGATGTAACTTGGGTTTGGCAAGTTGGCTGTGAGACGAATCACTGAGGGGGCAGGGGGCTGAGACACGGAGATGGATGATGGTGCCGCTCTCCCATCAGAGAGCAAGCACAGAGGCACAGGGCTGGGTGCAGATGGACAGACGCCAGCCCTGACGACACAGACAAGAGAGATCACAAACCGCCCGCAGAACCACCCTTGCATCTCTCACTAACGCAGCCCGGGCACGGAGGTGGCACCCTCGGGCCTGAGCGCACACGGTCCTGCGCATGGGGGCTGGGGCCCCAGCGGCCCAGCAGATAGGTGCCCGCGCCCCACGCATCCGGCCAGCTGTTTCCATGAACTCACTTGGCACATTTATTAACCATCAGCCACGCTGGCGGCCTGTGCGGCGGGCGGCGGGCGGCGGGCGCTCACTTGTTGTCCACCCGCTTGAGCTGCTCCTTGCCGTTGATGGTCACCGACTTGAGCTGCCCGTCCTCCTCCACCTCCACGCGCTCCTGCCCGTTCTCCACGATGCGCTTCGTGGTGACCTTGTGTCCGTTGACCATCTCGGTGGACGACATCACCGACTTGAAGCCTGAGCTGCCGGCGCCCGAGCCGCCGAAGGAGGTGGACGAGAAGGTGGTGCGGCTGGCGCTGCCGCCGCCGGCCCGGCCCAGGCTGTCGAAGGACGAGAAGGCTTCCATGAAGGCCGGGAACTCGCCGAAGCCGGCCGAGAAGGCCCCCCTCAGGCCGTGGCCCCGGCCAGCGCGGTCACTGTTGAAAGGGGCGTCCCAGAAGTCAAACGAGAAGGGGTCCAGGCCGCCGAAAAACTCGCGGAAAATGTCCTCGGGGTTCCGGAAGGTGTAGCCCGAGTCGAAGGGGCTGCTGTAGGGGGTGCTGGCCCCGCCACCCGCCCGCCAGCCGTCGCAGCCCGCGCGGTCGTACACGGAGCGCTTCTTGGAGTCGGACAGGACCTCGTAAGCCTCGGACACCTGCTTGAACTTCTTCTCGGCCTCCTCCTTGTTGTCGGGGTTCTTGTCGGGGTGCCAGCGCAAGGCCAGCTTGCGGTAGGCCTTCTTGATGTCCTCCGGGGAGGCACTCGACTGCACCCCCAGCACTTCGTAGTAGTTGGCCATGCCGAGGAGAGGGAGGGGTGGAGGCGGGGGCGAAGGTGAGGTGGGCACTGGGGCCCCGGGGGCCGGGATGGACTCAGAGGAGGCAGCAGTTGGTGTGGGTCCCTCAGCGGGGGCCTTGCTGGAATCTGCTGGCTCCGGGCGCGGCTCTGCCCCGCAACTTTACCTTTTCATAGTACCAGCTCTCAGGGACAAGTGGGCGCCTTCCACTGAGAGGGGTGGGGGGAGGGGGACACTGCCACAGTGGGGCCAGGCCAGGGACAGACCCCCCTGCAGAGTGGAGGCTGGGCCCTTTGTGACATCAGCCCTGGGCGGGGCAAATGCCACCCCCAGCTCCCCACCAGCACCCCCGGGGCACACTGGCCTGCCCCTGCCCATGAGGTCGGCACCTGGGCGGGCTGAGAATTTGGAGCTTGGTCATGCTGGACCTGAGGGCTGAGCTCCCCGGAGCCAAGGAGCAGAGAAAGGATCAGCCGCAGGATCGGGCCTAAGTGGGCAATGCAGCCTGGTGACGGTGGTCCGGGGAGGGGAGGGCAGGCTTCCTGGGACATGTCCACTTAACCTGCTGGCTGGGTTGTTGGGATGGAGTGAGGGGACCCCAAGTGGGAAATCAGACAAGGAGGTGAGAGCAGGAGTTCATTCTTCTTGTGCCCCTTTATCAGGTCAGATCCTCAGAGGTAAGCCCCACAAAGGCAGACGTGTTCGTCAGTGTCTAAGACCATGCCTGGAAATCAGTAAGCATTTGTTGAACGAACGAGGCTCAGAGACATGTAGAAAGTACTGAAGGTCACACAGCATGTCCGTGAGAGAGAGAGAGAGATGCAAACCCAGAGCTGTCTGAGGACAGCAAATTAAAAGAAGCATTCCACTCCATTCTGGTAAGAAAAATCCAGATAAGTGTGACTAGTGAATGTAGGGGGGTGAATGGTGGCCCCCCAAAAGCTATGTCCCTGTCCTAATTGCTGGAACCTGCAAATATGATCTCATTTGGAAAAAGGGTCTTTGTAGATGTAATTAAATTAGGGATGTTGAGATGAGAACATCCTGGATTATGTAGGTGGGTCCCCAATGCAATAAATGTCCTTACGGAGCCACACAGAAGAAGAGGGGGATGGCAATGCAGCGCGGGGAGAGCCCGCAGTCACCAGAAGCTGGAAGGGGGGAGTGCAGCCCTGCCGACACCTTGATCCTGCACTTCTGACCTCCAGAACTGTGGGAGGTTACATTTCTGTTGTTCTAAGTCACCCAATTTGTGATAATTTGCCATGGCAGCCCTGGAAAGCTAGTAAGGTGAGTGAATTAGGAACCAAATGTTCCTAGGCATTTACATTTCTTTAATTCTTGCTCCAATGTTAGATCATATTTAGAAATAGCAATTAACAATATTGATTGACATCTATTCCCCCCTTCCCCTCACCCCCCTCCAGTTAAGACGGAACACATGCTAAACTACCTAGTAACTGCACCAATGAGGAGCAGAACTATTGGGATCACTAAGTCACATAAGAGGGCATTCCTCTTCCTTCTCTTCCCCCGATTTCTTTCCCCCCTCCCTTCCTTCTCTTCTTTCTATAGTCCTTACCCCTCTCTGTATTCTCTCTCTCTCTCTCTCTCTCTCTCTCTTCCTTCTGTACTCATCAGGAACCTAGCAGGGGACAGTAGGTTCTAGCCAGTCCCCAATGCTGGGAGGAATGAAAGCAGAACCTGGAGACACTTTGCAAGCCTGACTTAGAGTGACAGACGTGGTCACTCCCGCCCGCTTTACCAGGAGCAGGACCTATCCTCTGTGCCCCCTGTCCTCCACCCCATGGGCTAACACCTAACACATATCGCTTGGTAGAGGAAATGAACAGCGGGGAGTAAGTTCACTGGGTATGTAGCTACAGATGAAAATGTTTCTGTGTTTTTGGAACTATATTTCTGTCACTGTAGTTAGAGACTGTTCTCGACAGGCTTGTCCACTGGAGCTGGGGAAAGCTGCCTCCCCACGCAATTCTCCACAATGATTGTGGGGATGGTGCGGTGGTGAAAAGGCATATTAAGACAGTAGAAGTGATTAGGGTAGTGGGGTCAATGTGGAGGCAGTGGTGAGGGTGGGAGTAGTTATGGTGGTGATAGTGGAGTTGATAATGGCAGAGGAGGTGCTGGTGGTGGGGAGCGTAGTCATGCTTGTGGTGGGGAGTTAACACGTGGAGATGACAATGGAGGGGATGGTGACTGGGGACCGGTAGTGGTAGAGGTGGTATTGATAGTGATGGTGGAGGTGTGACAGGGAGGTGCTGGAAAGGCTACTAGGGGCACTATCGGGGAGGTTGGTTGTGGTGATGGTGGTCCTGGAGTGGTGACGTTGGTGGCGGTGACAGGGATGAAGGCAGTGGGGTAGTGCAAGTTGCGTGTCATACGACTTTGCTTCAGTAACGACCCCATCTTGGAGCCTTACCATGGACATTTAGCCCTCGCCCAAGTCGCTGGGGCTCCAGCTCACATGTCTTCTCCTTCTGGATCCTGGATGAGGGAGTGCTCTGGTCTGGAATATACCATTCTCGTGGCGCAGAGGGCGTGAGTGGGAGCTGCGAGAAACGTGGAGTGCCTCTGGACACTTCTCCCGGGATGTGATGTACGTCACCCGTGCTCACGCCACGTGGCCCAGGCCAGTATCAGTGGGGTGGGGAATGGTACTCCTTTCAGGAAGGTTCTGCAAGTCTCCAGCAACAGCGGCACGATCAGAGGCACGATCCTCTGAGGAAGTGGGCAGTACTGCAGTATGCTGCCGGCGATCGTGGGGGTGATGGAGACGGTGGGATTGGTGGCCCTGGTGCCGATGGCAGTGCCGCTTGGCTGACGGGAGCTGAGACAGCCATGGAGGGGTGCTGGCAACGGTGGGAGTCACGACATGCTCTAGCAACAGGGCTGACGCCGAGGGTGATGACCTGGCAGATGTGGTGTCCACCACCCTCTTCGACGGTCTCCTCTGCATCCTAGAGAGTTGGGGAAGATTTTCCTGAATCCCTTATGTGGTTCCCAGGTGGAGTCTGCCAATGCATGCAATTTGGAAAGCGAAAGAGAAAGAAGCTGAAGGCAGATGACACCCGGAGGTTTGCAGCAACTTCCGGCCATCCTCTGAGACACCCGGGCTTCAGGGCTGCAGGCTGAGATACTCCGGGGAGCTTCCTGGAAGAGCGTGAGCTTCCAGCAGCTTCCCGGCGAGCTCTTGAGATCCACTTACTCTGGAGCAGCAGGCAGACCCTCGGCGATGACTTGTGTCCCTGATCTTTATGCCCCCAGGTCATCCTACGGTTGCGAAAACTTATATTAAATATCTTCATGCCTGTTACAGTCAGCAAGTGCGCGCACGGGGTGATGGTGACGGCAGCCCCGGGGGATGTGGTGGTGGTGGCGCAGGTGGGCTCGTGATAATGGTGACAGTGCAGAAGGTGGTGACGTTGTGGGCAGAGGCAGCATTGGCGGTGAAGGTGGCGGAGGTGACGGAGGAGATGATGATGGTAGTAATGGGAGGGGAGGTGGAAACGGCGGTGTTGCAGGTGACGGTGACGATGGGAATGGTCGTCAGGGTAACAGTGGCGTTGGTGGAGGTGAGGGATGTTGCTGCGGTGGGGACGATAGTGATGGTGGCCAAGGCAATGCGAATCCCGGCGGAGGCGGAGACGGGTGGTTACGGTGACGGCGGAGGTGGCCCGTCAGAGGTGGCCTGGTGGCAGTGGTGAGAGTGACGGTGATGATGCTGGTCATGGCAACAGCAGTGCTGGGCATCGTGGAGGTCACGGGACGGCGATCCTGGTCTAGGTGAGGGAGGTGACGTTAGGCGGGATGTGGCGGGGGTGTGGGGTGGTGTCGTGATGCTCCTGGGTTGAGGCGGAGGCGGAGACGGTCGTGGTGGTGCTGACGGTGACGGGAGGAAGGCTGGTATGTTTACGGTGATGGGGTAGCTCGACACTGGTCGGGGGAGGGGGTCAGCAACAATGGCAGCACACTGCTCGTGAAGCCTGAGGTCCCATAACAATGCAATGGGGGCAGCGTGTGGGTGGTTACATCAGGTTAAGAGACAGGGGACCCAGGATGATGAGACGCCCCCAAATCCCCAGAGACTTCCCCTCACCCCAGGCTCCCCTCGCACTGTCTGTCCAGGAAGGAAGTCTCCTGGCCACCCAGCCAGATCTGTGCCCTGCTCTGACCCCAGGCGCTGTGCTCAGCCTGAGGCCCCACCCTGGGGTGGTCTGTAGGAGGTAGCTGGGCTGGAGACAGGGCTGGAGACCTCCCCGGTTCCCGGCTGTCCCAGGGCTCAGAGAGCCGAGCACTCAGTAGGCGTCATGGGACGGGCGTACTCCCGGGAGGCAGATCCCAGCTCCTCACTGCCAAAGGTGCTCTGAACAGAGGGGGCCCTCTCCAGTTTACAAGGGCGAGGCAGGGTGAGCTTCCCACAAAGGCAGCCCGCAGAGGTGATTTTTCCTTCTGCAAATGGCTCTGCCTGGTGTCCTCTGAAATCCAACACTGAACGTGTTAGCAGCAGGGGCCTCTGGGGTCCCTCCACAGGGCCTCACGGGGAGACAGGGGTGCACAGGCATGACGTTAGCTCAGGCCCCCCTGCTCCTGACTCACACTGGCTGTTTGGTCACTTTCCCTCTCTGAGCCTCTCTGTCCTTATTCTCTAGTGGGGTGTGGAAAGTCCTCCCTTTGGGGGCTAGCCTCCCTGGCCTGCAGCCTCTGATGTCCCGGGCCCCCAGTCTCAGGCCCACCCTGAAGCCTGCCCCCTGAGCCATGGCCGGGTTGGAGGAAGAGGATCTTGGGTGACCACGTGATCTCAAGCAGAGCCTGATCCAGGGCACAGGGAGGCCCAGAGAGGGCAGGGCACACCCAAGGTCACACAGCGGTCCCAGGAACCCTCCCCAGGGCGAGCTGATGGAGGCCGATTAGGCAGCCAATTGGTATTCTGAGCAGCCAGAGGCCCCTCTCTGTCTCTGTAATTAATGGAGTGGCTTTTTAAAAGGATTCTAATCACCCTCG